AAGGAGCCTGTTTTCCAGCTCTGTTAAGGCCTGGAGAGAGATTCCCGCCCCATGGAGCGCAGCTTCTGCCTGCCAGAGTATGTGTGCAATTAAACCCAGAGCTTGGCACAGAAACCTCCTAACCCTGGAGGGGCCTGGTCCGTGCTGGGGGTGCACAGGGAATAAATCCAGGAGGGTTTGCAGCGGTCTATGGACACCTTCCTGGGAAAGGAAACACCGGGTCAAGTTTTCCTCCTACAAGGAATCGGGTTTCCCCACTTTCCACGAAGACTCAGGCTCTGCAGAGCCTCCAAAGTAACTCCTCCTCCTCTTGTTCTTGTTTAAACTCAGCTGTGAAGTGGCAGCGTTGGAGAAAAAGAAGTACAATTCCCATTTCCTGGTGCACATCAGCTGCTTTTCCCTTTAATGGCTTGGGGGGGGCTAGGAATAAACCCACATCGACCAGCACAGCAGGACCTTGCCCAGGGCCAGGACAAGGAAGAAGCTGCAAAATGAACCCTTTTGACTGTACACTAATGAAGAGGGTGAAGGAAATAAACCCCAGGACCCAGGGCTGGAGTTTAAACGTTTATTTCCAAAAGAAGCCAAAGCCAAAAACCCAAAAAACCCCTAAATACTATCAAATTTCAAACAATTACATTAATGTAGCTGCTTCCAACAGCCAACTGTTGAAGAGTGGGTGCAGATGAACTGCTTAAGGGCATTTTGGTTCTCAAACCTCCCCGTATAAATAATTTTTCCATCCATAATAGCATAAAATAACTTATTATATACCTTAGCATAAAAACTTGAGAATTAACATCCCAAAAAATACATTAAAAGGGGTTGTAAAATGTTTTGATTAACCTTATTTTTGCTTTGCTCTTTAAGGTGTTTAATCCAGAAGCTGTAAGTTGCACTTAGAAAATAGGTGGAGGATGTCGGGCGTTTCCCATGAGGAATTTGGCCGTGCAGCACCCCCGGGGCTCACTCCTCCAGCCACGCAGGCGCTTCTCTTCCCTTCACTTCCACGCTCCTCCGTGTCGCTTGTCAGTCCCACACAACACGTAGCTCAACTCCAACCTCCCCCCACCCTTTGATATCAGTTTTATCTGGGTATTTTTTTGTTGTTTTCTTCTTTTTTTCCTGCCCTCCCTCCCGGGTGATCCTCGTGCCAGGGCAGGGAGTTACTTCCTGAGCAACTGCTTGTAAAGTTATTGCAAAACTCGAGTGCAATCGGGTTCAGCCGAGCGCTACGGTCACCGCTCGGGGAGGTTAATCACCGGCACCCACTGATCCATGTACCGGCTCTCCCGGCAGAAGCACATCAGCTGACTCAGCGCTGGATCCTTCCACTGCGAGGCGTGGGGGTTCTGGAAAGAGAACCAGAGGGGGATGCTTTAATACGGGAGTGAAAACAAACCCTATGGAGAGGGAGAAAAAGCAGAGCAGAAAACCCCGGAGCATGAATCATCTTAAACTGCCACTAAAGCAAACAAACCAGTTGACTCCAGAATGACGAGTGGAGTTTTGCAGCTTTGGGCTGCAGGGCAAAGGGGAAAAAGGGGGGAAAAGAGACTCAGAATGATAAAAAATTAGAAAATAGGTTCATAAAATGATTTAAAAGGAAAAACATAGAATCCTGGAATGGTTCGGGTTGGAAGGGACCTTAAATCTCATCTAGCCCATGGGCAGTGACACCTTCCACTATGACCAGCTTGCTCAAGGAGTTTCTTAAGGATCCTATGGGATGTTCTCTCTGCTGGACATGGGTCTGAGACGTAAGTGGGGGTCTCTGTGCCCACAGGCATGGTCAGTTCCGGCTTTATGGAATGACATTTTGGAATTGCATTCAATTCCAGGCTTTGCAGGGCACCTTCATCAGCGCTCACTGGAAAGACGGGTTATGCCGCATGGGCAAGCCGCCTGTCCATGCCATGAGGCATGACCACGACACACCGGCTGCCCCCAGCAACCAGGATCCATCCCGACTCACCGTGACGAGGACGCAATGAAGGTCGGCGGGTGGCCCGGGGCCAGCGGCGGGCAGCAGGAGCTGAGCCAACCGTGCCGGGTTGTTGACACGGAGGATGTTGATGTCATTCTCGCAGCAGAAAGCCTGGATCAACGTGAAGTGGATCTGCAGCGCCGCGTCTCCCTCCTCTTCCTCATCGGCCGACAGTAAGCACAGCACCACGTTATCCGGATCCCTGCGGGGATACACAATGTCACCGGGAAGGGTGGCGGGACACCGGGATAAGGGGTTGAGCACCGGGAGCGGGGTTTCACTCACACATTAAGCAACTTGGCTGCCTCATAGACACCAAGGGTGAGGCTCCGCTGGCTCAGCGCCTTGCTCAGCAC